TCGGAGCCCCCTGGACTCAGCCACCTGGAAGGGACCCTGCCACCTCCTTCGCCACCACCCTCCTCGCCTTCCACTGGGGCGGAGAGGAAGGTGGACCCATTTGCCAAATATGCAAAAAAGGAGGGAAGATGGTTTTCTCTCAGGAAAACACGGGCAGGAAGGGAGCCCGTGCTTCCTGTCCCGACCAAAATGGGTTCAGAGATTATTAGGACGTCTGACTTGGCGGGCTTGAGGTAGGTGGGAGAGGGACCTCTTTGAGTCACCAGGCATGATGGGCTCCCCAAAGGCAGAGACACTTAGCCCAGGAGAAGAGAGACATGGACAGGCATGGACATGGCAGGAAGGCAAGAGGCCCCCAGGTCTGGGACTTGGAGTTTTTGCCATTTTTCATGGTTCGTCCCCAGGCAGGTCATGAGAGGCACCCCAAGCATCCACACACCTGTTCATCACAGCAAAACAGGAGAAGGAAAAAAGGCTGGAAGGAAGGGGTGAGGCCATTTGCTGCAGAGAAGGCTGGGCTGCCTCCCCACCAGGCCCTCTTCAGCAGTGAGCCGCCTACACGCCACTCACCCAGGACAAACCAAAACAGGGTGGGCCCTGCCCACCTCTCCACTCTAGGGCCCTCTGCAAAGCTCTTTTTGTCTGCTCTGTTTCACTTGTAATAATGCAGCATTTTACTTTTAAATGTTTCATAATGTCTTACAACTATTTGTTAGTATATCATCAAATGTTTCAAAACAGTGTCAAACACAAGCTATTAAAGCAACAACACTATAAATGGAAGGAGCTGCAGAAAGATAACCTATGGTGTGGAGTCATTTATTAAACTGCAAGAACAACAACATGCCTAGGTCTCTATGGGAAAAAAAAACAAAAAACAGTGTGGGCATCTGGTCCAACCCACAGTAAAATCAGCTCGGTTGCGGTTGCTTGAGTCTGGTTTGGGGCGGCCCACGTCCCTGATGAACTCCATTCCTGTCTCATTCCTTATCTGGATTTTAAGTGTGTGTGTGTAAGGCCTATGCTCTGAAACACAATCTGCCCAAGGTCTGGATCACATGTGTGTACATGTGCCTTTTCTAAGCAAAACCAAAATGACTGGCCTCAAGGTGTTGACCTGATCAACGGTTCTCCCTTTGTCAGCCACAAAGGATGGGTCACTTGTCGCTTTTACATCTTGTGTTTTCTCCCATGAGATGAACTATGCTACACACACGCCTGAGGGTTCTTCAGACACAAATAGACCGACACCAGGCAGGGACGACCGGTAACCGTCAGGGCGGGAGGGGCAGCATCTCACAGCCACAGGCAAGACTCACACAGTACACAAGCACCCGAAAACGCATGTAGAAATAGCAGAAATTAACACAGCCTTGTAAATCAACTATATTTCAATAAAATTTAAAAAAATAGTATTTTTAAAAAAGAAATAGCAAAGGCTGCCAGTTAACCCAAACAGCTGCTCCCTGAGAAAACAAAACCAAGAGTTACCTTGTAGTGAAATTATTTCACAATTACAAAGATCAGAGGGGGGAAAAGGAATCAAAAACACCTCTGAATGCTGCTGCCCTTGACCAGTTCTGGGTTAACTGCAAGAATGTTAGGCAGACACCCAAAGAACTAGCATCGTTTATGCTTACACTCACCATTCCAAGGAGGAAAATCTGTTCTGTTTTAGTAAAAGGTAAAAATCAAACCAACAAACCAACCAAGCCAAAAAGGAGGGTCTTTTGTCACTTCGGTCAGGTGGGTTTGATTGTTAAAACCCTTTCCCCAGCCCCGTGTCTCCCCATGCTGTGTGCACGCTGTGTGTCTGTGTGCATACTATCACATAATGTCTTTATTTCCTGTATCTATTAATATACACGTAACCGTGAAGGATACACACAACACGTGTACGGGTGGCGTGGCAGCGTTTCTTAGCAATGACATGTAGTAGACAGCATATACATACATCAGGTTCTCTTAAACTTTCAGAGTTTGACATTTATGTTGACAGTAGGCTTCTACACTGACCGAACACGACACACACATCCAAGCCGAGGGAAAGAGCTCCTCAAACCGTAGAACCACAGTCCTCAGACCCGAAGGCTCCAGTGAGAAAGATGCAGTGGCCCTAGCCATACTGGCTGCAGGCCTCTTGGCCAGGAAATTGGCTGTGATCTTAATTTTCAGCAAGGGAAATGGCTGCAAGGAAACCACCAGTTACCTTCTCTCCGGAGACTTCAGAAAAACTTCTCAAAAGACCCAAATGTAACACACACACACTTGGATTCATGGACCTTCGATTCCCGTGAGACCATGATGATGGGCTGTGATCATCACGATGCTCCTGAATTTTGGAGGATATGTCGTTTCTCAAGATGCAGCACTTTAATTAAAATACTGATGAATTATAGAAGCACGGTGGAGTTTCTGAAACTCCTGCCTTCAACTATCACCATGAAATGGGGATGGGAGGTAGGGCAGAGAGGGGAAGAAAACCAGACCGTTTAACTCAGTTACATCTTTTGGTTTTCAGCTCTGGGGACTTTGAGGCTGGGAAATACATTTTTTCCCAGGTAAAAAAAGATATAAACATGTATGATCATGGGAAGTTTTGAAACTGAATACACTACATCAAACCCAAACTGTACAGAATTTTTAAATGCCACCTCATTATGTATATCTGTGCACACAAATTATTATTATTTTTTTTAACACATTCTGTATAATCCTGAATGTAGGCAAGTCATTTTCTGGTCAGAGATATTTATGACTATTTAAATTTTAAGCCACGGATACAATAATCTAGTTTCTCACTGAAACAATTCCAACACATACAATATACATATACATTATACTTGAATTGTTCCTTTTAAAACCCCACATAAAAGATGAGTCCCAATAACCTCATCAAATAAACATCTTCCAACAAAGCAATGAACTCAAGAGGCTTGGACCTTTCCTGTATGCTTCACTCTCCTCTCAACTCAGAACCAAAGTGAACCAAGTCTTAAAATCACTTAAATTTCCATGAAAGTTTAAACGTTATGCATATTAAATATTTTAAGCTTCCTTTAAAAAAAATAAACTTTCAACTGAAGTTGATCTTATGGGTAAGGAGACATTTCTTCAACACCAGTGTGACCTCTAACCTGAACTACCCCTTGGGGAGCAGGGTGGGGAATTCTGAGTGTGGAAATTGAGGGTAGCACAGAGGTTTGACATTCACACCGGGGGGGCTGCAGCCAGGGAGAAAGGAAACCGCATTTGAAAGCTGCACTTGGAAGTGCCAGATCAGACACGCGAATCGAATCCTAACCCTTTTCACTTCTCCAGATGTCACACCCCGTGCCTCCAAATCAGAAGAAAAATTAAAAAAAAAAAAAATCACACCTTCTGGAGATTCCTTAGGAATCACCAAGCATCCTAATTTTTCAAACGTATTTCACAGACAGTCGCAAGTAACCTGACACCTTTTGGCCGAGGGGTTTCCTAACCGGAGAGCCAAAACTGCACTCAGCAAAAGTACTACCAACTTTTCAAACCGGAATAATTCCTAATCTGCAGAAAGCAAGTTCAGATTCAACCTAATTATTTTACAGAATAAGCAAAAAGCTCTCGCGTCAAAAATAAGAAAAGAAAGCTCGTTATGAATGACTTTATAAAGGCTGACTTCCGTGATCTCACTATAAAAGCGTGGATCTACTTAAACAAGATCACGTCCTCCCCCGGGGGACAGCGGGTCGGCTCACAGCGTCCCACGGCCGGCCTGCCCTGCACCTGCGGTCACAGCACGAAATGGCCACGGCTTTGACAAAAGTCAGCGCTCCCACTGTCTCCGGAAAGGAGAGGTGGACCCGAGCGAAACCAGGACTCACAAATGTGACCGCCTCCGTCTTTTCCTTCTTTCCTTCTTTTCAAATCCAAGTTTTTCTACGGACATTCAATCTGAAAACACTCACGTGGATGTGTGCGTCGCACTTTCCAGGTCCAAGACTGATCCTCAAGCGCGAAGAGCAACCTCGGATCCGGGTTCGCCCGGTGGGCCCCCTTGTCGCGGCCAATCGTCCTGCCCCGGCTCGGCTGCGCTCCGCGGGGACCCAGGACCTTCGCCGCAGCGGTTGCCCGGGCGCGGGCCGCGCAGGCACTTGTTAGAGCGCCTGGCTTGCTCGGCTGCCCAGCTCTTCCCAGCTTTCTTTCACAATGACTTCCTGAAGTTGCTCACTCGCATTGTTCCCCATTTCTCCGCGGCGATCCCCACCCCCAGCCGGCCGCCACCCGGCTTTCGCGCTCGCGGCCGGTCTGCCCGTCCCGCGTGCACAGCGCCGCCCACGGGCTGCGCACCTGTGCCCCGCGCCGCGCCCCCGCGAGCCAGCGCTCAGTCACCTGCGGCCGCTTGCTCCGAGCGCCCGGGCCCGAGCGCGCGCCCGTTACCCGCGCTCCGCAAACTTTGTGGCTGCGCGCCACAGCGGTCCCTGCGCGCCCTGCCCCGCCGCTGCCTCGCCCCGCGTGCACGCTCCGGCACCAAACAGGACAGGAGCGAGGAGCCGGGCCCGGGGCGTGGCGCGAGCAGGACTAGGAGAGGGACTGAGACAGGGAGCGGGACTGGACGCGGAACCCGGCACGGTGCGGGACTCCGAGCGGGACTTGGAGAGGGATTCGGGTCGGGGCGCGGCGCCCCAGCCGCCCGTCGCTCGCTCACGCGGCGCCGTCCCGAGCGCAACTCCCGGGCAGCGTCCGCAAACTTTGGCGCCGCGCGGGGCTGGACCCTGGCCCGCCGGAACACAGGCGAGCAGGGAAGCGGCAGGGACGGGCCGTACCTGCTGGCGCCGCCGCCCGCTGCATCCCGCTCGCCGGCACTGGGCCCGCAGGGCGCGCCGCCGCCACCCCGCGCGCTGCGCGCCCCGGCCCTTCCCGCGCCGCCGTGCTTCCTCATCCCACTGCTGCCCGGCAAGGCCAGAGGGTCCGCCACCGCGCCGCAGCACCCGCGCTTAACCCCTGGGGGTCCGGCGCGGATGGCGTGTCGGGGGCTGCCGGACCTGGGGCGTCCTCCCGGGGACCAGCAGCCTCGCGCCCCTGGCCGCTCGTCGGGGCACCCGCGTGCTCGCCCTACCCGGGACTCGGAACCCAGTGGAGCACTTTTCCACTGCCCGCCCGGCTTCGCTTCCCTCCAGCTGGGCCCACGTGGCTCCCTGGTTCTGGTTGCGACCCCAGTTTATGAGTGCCCACCCGAGGGGGTGGGAAAAGTGGATCCTTCGCAAGTGAGGGGAAGGTGCGATTCATTTTCCCAGACAACCAATGGAATACCTCTCGTCTCTCTTCCCTCCCACCCGCTGGAGGCAGAAGTTAGGCTCGCGCCGTCAGGCTTGGCCTGTGTGCACACGCGAGTGCGAGAGGGCGGCGGCGGTGGAGCGGGCACGGAAGGCAGACCTGTGCTCCTGCTCCTGTTCTCTCTGCGCCTCGGCCTCTCCCTCCGAGGGCCCCGGAACACGAGTGTGAGGCGCTGTGTATCCATTCAAACAGGAATGGCAGCTCTGAGGCTCCCCTCTGCGCCCCCGGCAAAGCATCCATCATTCTGATCAGTCAGGCCCCCCGACAGGAGCCTGGAGAGTGTTCAGCCTGAGTAGAAGAGGAGGACTCATGAATCCAACAGATTCATCCTGAGTGCCAGCACCCCCTCCCCCAGGCGCCGCCTTAGGAACTGACTGGTAAGAGCCAAGCTCTCGGCCCTTCAAGACTTGCGGGGACACAAAGCGAAGATAAATGCTGAGGCGTCCCTAACAGCAGGAGAGACACACCCGGTCTTTCCCTGGGAAGAGCAAGAAAGGGCGCTGCGGCCCCAACAAAGGGCCGGGCCGGCCTTCCAAGTGGGGCGAAGGGAATGTGCCGCTGAGCGAGGCCAGGGAAGGCTGAGGGGCATATGAGGAGGCTGCTGCTGGCAGGGCTAGGGGCCCTGTTGATCACCTTGGCCTCTGCCATTCCTGGATGAAGTCTCTGAGCTACAGACAACTTCTACTGAACTCTTCCTCGACCACTTCAGCAAGAACACTGCTCAGTTCCTCCGGAAATTCCCCTGTGCTGAACGGAGTCCTGCTTAAAGCCCAGGGGAGGTGGGATTTAAAGACCACCTTAATTCCTAGACCTTCCCTTACCTGTATGACTTCCGGCAAGTTGTTGAAACTCTGTGATTGTAGTCTTTTTTGAGTGCAAGAGAAATCTACTTTATCCTAAAGAGTCCTTATCAAGATTAAATGAGACAATAAACGGTGCGGGGGCCCCAGAGGAGGCATGATGCAGTGAAGGGGTCCTGACACACCTTCAGGTCTTGAATGAGTGTGGCACCCTTAATCCTGCCTCCAGGCTCATCTCTTTAAACGTGTGCCGTGGTCCTCAGGAGTGTATGTCAAGGACTGCCAGGCTCACCCTCATCCAACCAATGCAAAGCACATCCTGAAGCAGTAGAGCTAGGAACCCAGATGGTTTGACCGTGTGATCTTGGCCCAGGTCCTCAACCTCTCTGAGCCTCAGTTTCCCCATCTATACATTGATGGTAATCATATACGCTACTTCCTGGAATTGTTGGTGGATAAAGCTCACTCTAGGACTTCCCTGTATTTCAAACAGTAAAGAACCTGCCTGCGATGCAAGAGACCAGGGTTCGAACCCAGGGTTGGAAAGTTCCTCTGGAGAAAGGAATGGCAACCCACTCCAGTATTCTTGCCTGGAGAATCCCATGGACAGAGAAGCCTGGTGGGCCACAGTCCATGGGGTCGCAGGGAGTGGGACAACGACTGAGTGACTAACACACAAAGCTCACTGTATATGGAGGCTCTTGTCATATGCCTAGGTAGAGGAGGACTCTGTGAGCAGTGATTAATAGTTATTATTAACCCTACTATTATTGACCTGTCTTGTGTACCAGTTAAAAGAGGTGGACCAGAAGGAACCTGGTATATAATCTGGGTCTGTGGATAGACTGTATGGGGCCAGAGAGAACCCTTCCATCAGAAGTTAAAACTGATATAGATAATGATTAAAGCGTATTAGAGGGTCTATATTGGGGTAGGGGATTTTTAAAAAAGGTTATTACAGTATTATATGAAACCATGTGTGTGAAACTTTTGAAAATTGCAAAGCACCATAGAATTTAAAGAATCATTCAGAAATTGTTCTGTGGAGTTTGCTCAGCGTTCAAATGTTCTTTCGATGAATTTGTAGGGGAGAAAGGGGTTTCCCTGTCCTATTCCTCCGCCATCTTAGCTCCTCCCCCCTCTAAAGAATCATTCAATAGAAAATAAAATTTAAAAATAATAATTTTTTAATAAAAGCACATTGGAGGAGAAAATATGCCAGTGGAAATTGAAACAGGTGTGATCCTTAAAAATTTTATAGGTCTCAGTTCATTTAGTTCCTTTAGGAGTACATGTATGTAGCTGTTCCCATAATGTTAGAGTATTTAAAAAGAGCTTCCTTCATTCAGACAATAATTGTTAAATTACCATTTTTTTCTTTTGAGATAATCTTATCAAAAGAATAAAAAGCACCTATAGAATTAATCAAAATCTGCTTATTCAGAATTTACTATAATAATGGAGTTAGACAGTTCTGTTCTGGCAGAGCCTGGATGGCATTTTAAAGGAGAGTGAGTTTTATGGAGGAAAAGGATAGGGGAGGTGATAAGATATGATTTTGTTTCATACTAGCTATGTGAGTCTTGGCAAATTCTTAACATCTCTGAGTTTCAATTTGTCATCTGTGGAGTGTACCTACTTTTCCAATGATGGTGCCAGAATATAGTGAAATTAAATGAAATGATGTATGTAAGTAGTTATTATAATGATGGCATTTTTTTCTTTATTTTAAGAAAAATCTGTTAAATAGCAATGAAATGAGCATTCTTTTTCCTCCAGCAGTTGAGTAACAGTAAGTATATTGTTAAATAACAGGAAAAGTTTTTTGTTAAAAAGAAAACCTGAAATTCTATTATCTTTCTGTAATGTGAAACTCATACAGACAACATGGTTTTGCCTGAAAAGGATCATGGACTTCAGGAAAAACACCAAGGACTTGGGTAAAACTTCTGCAATAAAGGCCCTGCTGCTTTGGTTTCCTTTCCTCAGCTTTTATCATCTCCAGCTTCTGTGTCTTCCGTTTCTGAAAATCAAAAGTTTCCAGCCCAGAGCAAGGTCCTCAATCCTTTTTTTAGGGCTCACTCCTTGAGTTCAGCTCTTCCTAATCACCAACTGCTGGTTCCCACTTTATTTCTGGAAGTGAAGATCCAGGATGCAGAAATGGGGCAGGGCGGGGAGCTCATGCAGAACCAAGACTGTCCAGCTGGCAGGGACCCAGAAGGAGACCTCTCAGGGTGCACCATGTCCTCTCTTGGAGGATCCATGCCTGCTAAGTCACTCAGTCGTGTCCGATCTGTGCGACCCTATGGACTGTAGCCCACCAGGCTCCTCTGTCCATGGGATTCTCCAGGCAAGAATGCTGAAGTGGGTTGCCACACCCTCCTACAGGAGATCTTCCTGACACAGGGATTGAACCCACATCTCTTATGTCTCCTGCGTTGGCAAGCGGGTTCTTTACCACTAGTGCCAGCTGGAAAGGAAGACTCTGTGACTCCTGGCTTTGAAACCCGAGAAGTTCAGTAGGTCCGCTGATCATTCACAACTCTGACTCTGAGTTTTGAATCAAGGAGGTGAACTAAGTGACAACCAAATCCTCCCCGCTGTATATTTCTTTCACTTTATTCCCTTTGGTATTGTAAGGAGAAAATGCTTAGATTATCAAAAACAGTGACTTTTTATCATTATTGTTTGGTTAGAAGCAACTGAAAAACAAACTGAGTCTGATGTAATGATTTGGAGATGATAGATTCACTCAAAAACTTTCTGGTGAAAAGGTTTTAAAAAAATGTTTTGTGTGAAAGTTCTGTATAAGTAAAAGTAGATATTGATGTGACCAGGACAGACCAGAATAAAGAAATCCAGAGGGCTGAATGTCACGCATCCTCCCCCACCCCACCCGACTGTGGGTTGTATGGGGTAGGATCAGGATTGAAGTTCTACTGCTAGAGGTGTCACACCTTCTGTTGGGATGCGTTTATTCATTTATTCAAAGAACATGTATCTGTTAAGTGCCTACCATTGTGGGTGACAAAATTTGAGAGACAGGGAGTCCCAATAAAACATCAGATGTGATCTTATCCCGTAAGGGCCTCCGGCTGCTAACCCAGAAAAGCAGAAACAACTGCATTTCAATGTGAAACGTGTGGTGGCAAATTCAAACACAAAGCCTGTGGACACACAGAGGGAGAAGCTGCTCAGTAGTCCTCGAGCTGGTGAAGGAAATGCTGAGCTTCTCTCCCTGTGGGGGCTTCAGAAGAGCTTTCTCAAAAAAGACAATCAGCCAAAAACTGATTTCTTGTTGTTCAATCGCTAAGTCACGTCTGACTCTTCGTGAGCCCATGGACGGCTCCCCTGTCCTCCACTACCTCCCGGAGTTTGCTCAGATTCATGTCCATTGAGTTGGGAATGCCATCCGACCATCTCATCCTCTGCTGCCCCCTTCTCCTTTTACCCTCAATCTTTCCCAGCATCAGGGACTTTTCCAATGAGTTGGCTGTTTGCATCAGATGACCAAAATACTAGAGCTTCAACTTTAGCATCAGTCCTTTTAATGAGTATTCAGGATTGATTTTCTTTAAGATTGACTGATTTGATCTCTTTGCTGTCCAAGGGACTCAGGAATCTAGCTATTTCTGCATTGTATAGCAACTTTCCCTTTTCAGTGTTAAAAAGTCATAAATCTTTCCTATCCAGTCTGTAGAGGAAGTGGGTTGGTTTTGGAGAGGAGATTGAACTTTGGGACTCTACAGCAGAAACCATCCTGAAAATCTTGGTATCTCTCCCAGGCCCATGTAAGGCCACAGTGGGATCTTGGCTGAATTTTGTCACCATTCTAAGCATCATATTCTGATTTGTATCTACAGCAGAGAGCCAATCCTGCATCATGGAGTTGACTTAAAGATTAAGAGCCTGGATGTAAGTCTTTAATCCTAACTATCTGTGATAGTCCCCCCTGCCCCCTTTCCTCTGACTGGAGGGGTCCATGAGGATGCTTAGAAGGTGACAACCAGCAGAAAACAGGTAAGAAAGAAGGCCCAGAAGGATTCGTAGCTGGGGACTCACCCTGACCAAATTGCAAATTGATTGTTTCTTTATCTGAGAAGATCTGGGAAGAATTAATTCAAAGTGATTAGTGCAAAGTGAGGCTGATTCCAGGAATAGTAGGGTTTTAAAGTCTGCCAAAAATGCCCATAAACGTTTCTTTTGACCCTGATGATATTGGGAGCTAGAAGCTCATGAGGCCATGTTTGCCAGATTTTTTTACTATCTCAAGGGCTTCTCAGTCTCCTTACTGAAATGCCAGAGTTCCTCAGACAAGGCCCTGGACATAGTTTTCAATGTAATGTGTATCTTGACATCTGCAGCTCACATCTTCCTCTGAAATCAGAATTTGTGCATCTTACTTGGATGCATAATTTGGCTTGGTCTAATTGACTTCTCACATTTAC